GGGTTTAGGGAGTTTAGGGTGTTTAGGGTATAGTAGGGTCTAGGGCTTAAGAGTTCAAGTCACAGAGCTTAGGGTATGGTGTTACAGGACATAAACCAGACCCCTGATTAATCAACCCCCCTTCCCCTAATCGGGATTATAATATGGATCCGAATATTAAGGCCCTTAAACGGAGGGGGTCTGTTAATCATGGGTCTACATTAGGATTTTTGGCTTAGTGTAACCTAGCTTCTTGCCAAGTTGGCAGCTTATAGTCCCCCTTAAGTAGATAGAATATGGCTTTGTGTATATTACAATAAGATCCCCATATACCCCATATTCTATCTACTTAAGGGGGACTATAGGGGTAAACAGCTTGGAAGAGAGGCTTTCGGTTGAGGCTTGGTGCACGTCTTCAAGACGAAGAGTCTGCGTTTCAGATTCCATGTGTTATAAGTGTTTGACTTGAAGACAGTTAGGGTTTGGGGTTTGGGATTTCAGGACTGAAGGCTTATAGTCCCCCTTAAGTACTTAGAATATGATCCCCATATACACCATATTCTATCTACTTAAGGGCCTAAACCCTAAACCTTTGGGGGAACACCCTAAACCCTAAACCCCTAAACCCTTAAACCCTAAATCCCTAAACCCTAAACCCCTAAACCATAGGTCTTAGGGTGCTCTGGGTTTATAGCCAGCAGTCAAGTGTTTTTTTGTCGGCCCTAAGGGGCTCCAGATAGCTCAAGGTAGGTCTTCGGGGTTAGGGCTTAAGGGTTTAGGGTGAGGGGTTAGGGGGTTTAGGGGTTTCGGGGTTTCGGGGTTTAGGGGTTAGGGGTTTAGGGGTTTAGGGTAGATTCTCAATTTTTTTAGGCTTGCTGTAGAGCCCTGACTTCAAGGAAAGCTTGAGAAACAACCAACTTACGAGTGCCCGCATACTACAGATCCTATGCTCTTTGCTTGACATCCTCATCCTCCGCTGTCAACGTTCTGACTCTAGCAGGATCATTAACGACTGGTGTTTGGTATCAGGCCCCTGCTGAGCTAGGCAAAAAGCTTCTTTAAAGCCCTATTTTGTATAACACACATTCAGTTTCCATTCCATCGCCATGTTAATGTTTTTTTGACTTTCGATTCTCCATCACATTGGGAGTCAGTAAATGCCCCCAACCCTAAACCATGATCCCAAACCTTTATTAAGGCCCGGGGGTGGGTAGGAGGCCACAAGATCAAGCGCATTATGACGCCTGGTCATGCTGCAGCTTTCTTTTTCCAAGTTTTGGGATTTGGAAGAATAGGGGTTGCGAGGTCCGGGGTTCACGGTTTAGAGAGCCCGGGGGTTTTGAAGCTCTTAGGGTTTGGGGTTTATGCCAAATTCCTGAAGACTCGGCCGTTAGCAGCACGTATTTGGACTTAGGCAAATGAAATGCCAGATTCGTTCCGTAAACCTTAGATTTGTATTCCTGGGCTCCCTTCCGGGAATCAAGGGATAGGTTTAAACTAATATCACGTTCATCCTTTCTAGTAGCTACTATGGAAACCGAAAAGGAAAAAGATAGTGTTCCCTCTTTGAAATCCTTATGTAAGCGAACAACCAGAAACCATGTTTTTATCTGGTCATTGAGGCCCCTGAATTACTGGCTTATGCTAGCGAACATTCCTTCATCCTGAATGGGAGCAGACTATATGAGCAATGGTCTAAACCTTAATAAGCCTTATAGTACTCCCCGACATAATACCCATATGATGCGTGGTTTTTTTATC